ATCGGATACCACACATTAGACCCCTCGTCGGAAAATTTTGGAGTCACCAGAGCTGCCCCTGAGAACCAAGGCTGTTCTAGTCCCGATTCACAATTCGCATTAAAACAACACTCCTCCTACATCCACACTGCATAACAGGTAGCGATCAATAAAAATTAAATTTTGTAATTTATACCTACTACCGTTTTGGATAGGTTTTCAGATTTAAGATATTAGTCCCCAGAGTCGCATACATAACATTTCAGACAGGCGACACCGAATATTCATCAACATTCCATTGTCCATAGGTTTGTAGTGTTTCAGGAGTAGGGTGTATTTTCTGTCCTTTAATATTTGTCAAAATAGAAAATCAATAAATAGGGCACGACGTCATATCCACTTTAGCTTGGGTAAAAAGAATTCATAACGAACACAGATTTCTGGAAAGACATTTTTCCCTGTTTACAAACTTCGAAAACGTAACGTAACACCATGGAAAGTCGAACGCAAAGGTTCCTATTGTTAATAGGAATCTGTATCTCATTAACCGTTACCGAGTTTTCCGTCAAAAACCCCATTTCGTGCCTTCCTTTAGGATGAAAGTCAGATAGACCATGGATAGACTAGTAACAAAGTATCAAATATGATTTTTTTTCCTCCAGAGTTTTAGGCCTACTTTAAAAAGAGAAGTGGAATTGAATAGTCTTGGTGGCTAAGAATCTTGTTTTGTTGTCATGCCTAAAAAACAGCCAAAAATAAGCATCATTCCACTTTGTAAATGGTAAGTTTTTTGCTAGCTACTGGTCAGGATGTGATATCTACAAGTCCCCTTTCAAACAGAGCTATAAAATTCTAATATTGTAAATGGCGGTCGAGAATAGGCTGGATCACACCTAAGAAGATCAGACTCACCAACACCTGAAGACCTTTCAAAACATATGGGCTGCAAATCTTCTTCCAAACAGCTTTTAATTGACACTAATCCACTAGCACCAGCTCCAACGATGCCAACGGTTTTAATAGCCATCTTGGATTTTTAAGTTTCACAACCGTGAAGGACACTCACAATGCAATAAGACCGCACATGCGCAAATTAATAAAGCCCCTGGGAAAGTTACAATAGTAAACTGCGAAATACATTAACCTTATGTCACTATTTTTGTACAGTATACATCACGCCAATATGCATATAAGCACAATAGGCAATAGTAGGCCTACCGTGTGCAACTCATCTTATTAATAATATGAAATAAGCTCAACGTTCCTGAAAGATGGCCACTTCAATACTTGTACGGAAACAATGACAGTTTTTAAATTTAATTTATACTAACACATCAACTCTATCATTCGACTCTACTACCCCTCCTCTTTTACTCCTACACATTTGGAGTCCAAGCCGGCTTTACCAACCAGAACCAGGAAATTAATATACCAAATATTTGTGATAAATATAGTGGTTTGTTACATCGACCGTATTTGAGTTACATATAATGTTCAAATTGGAGAGCAGGATAGACGTTGATCAGTGTATATAAGCCTGCTGTATTCTAGAATGAACATTGAGTCACACGCAAATTTGACTTTTATTTAACTTTCATTTAAAATTACCTATCTGTGTTAATTATAGAAATTAAAATGAGAGCAACATAATGTATAAATCAAACATTTGCTGCAGATAATCAATTTATTGAATTGGAAGAGAACAAATATACATTTGGTTTAAATTATCTGCACTTATTGTTGCAGGGATTACCAATTTGGATTTAGAGAACAGTTTATTGAGCTAATAAAATAAATTATTTAAAGTTTATAAATATTTGAATTGTTTGGATTATATTACATGAAATTGAAAATGATGCTTAACGCCTATCGCCATACGCAAGAGTCTTCTTGGTACCGTACCGGTACTTGAGCAAATTTGAAGTACTAAAAAAAAAGTACTTTATAGAATATGCAAATAATTATAAATATAGATCGGAAATAAATTACCGTCCTTATAATTATGTGCCGAGAGTCTAATTTGCTCACTAATGAAATTTGAGTCCCTTTTAAGGGTAGGTCTACATCTGGTCGTCGTGTGACTCAATAGTTCAATTAACTTAACTGATGCGTTTTGAGAGATCAAGGTTAAAGGATGGCCATGTCGCACAGTTATTGGTATATTTCAGTGTTGTGCCAGTCATCTTGGATTGCTTATTAAGACTTATATTTACTTTTATTTTGTATACGGTAACGCCTTTTCTAGCAAACCCCCTCTTTTTTGGCGAACCCCCCTCTTCAAATTTCCCAAATAAGTCCTCCAACCCAACTATTGCACTGCAGACCCAACCCAACTTCAGACCCACAAGATTCAGACGGAATGGTTTGCTGCACACCTTTTCCAAACATAACTGCTTTTATTTAGACCCGTAGAACACAAAAATCCTCTTGCTTTGGGGGTTTCGCTGACCCCACCGGTTCGCCTCTGAATTCCACACCCAGAGAATCCCCCTTTGGAAGAAACTGCCTACGGGCCTGAACGCAGGCTTACAATTATTTACTGTACTTTCATTTTATTTGTGAAGCTTTAATGAATAACTATTGTATGAGTAGGCTAAGCATTACAATTTTCCCCATTAAAAATATCCAAATTGTTTTCTTTTCAATCCTGGAACCTAATGAATGTGATCCTCTTATTTTTTTTAAATATTCAGTAGTGGCTACAATGTCAATGTTTGTGTTGCCGTGTGGCAACACATGCGAGAAGTTGGGTCAACTGTGACTGACTGAACTCTGGATAGATGATTTAGCTAATTCATCAGTTCGATTGCAGATACCAGGCCCGTACGCAGTATTTCTATTGGGTAGGTGCGAACCTGTGGGAAGTGGCCCAAAAATGTTGGGGGGGGGGGGCTAAAAACAATCCGCCACTGGTTTTGAGAGCAAACACTATTCAGTGTTCTTATTTTCAAATGTTCTGAGTCTATCAAAAATGTTGAAGGCCTAACGATGAATATCAACTTTGATATATCAAGGAACCTGATCTATACAAAATTAAATCAATCTAATTAAAAACACCGTGGAAATTTCATTAATTATAATATAAAAAATCGAGATACTAATCTGATTGGGAACAGGGTAGGGAAAGCAATAAATCACTTTGATGGTTTTAAGTGAATACGTTCACACTCTTCCGGGCCAGATAGGGGCCGTGGCGGATTCAGGAATTCGAAATAAAGGGGGGGGGGGTACCTCTAGATGGCCGGAAATGGCACTCGCAAACTTAAACGGGAATAAAGATAGTGAAACTATAGAGAGAGAAGATGAGTTTTACGCGGCGAGTTATTTGACACGCAACGGCAAGGAAAAACTCTAAAATTACTCAAAAAGCAGTTAGAAGGCCTTGCTTGTACGACAAATTAGAGGCAGTCCTAGTAGGAAACTGCTCTAACTGGTCAAGCATTTTTGGTGGATGGATTTCTGGAGTATGAGAGTGTGTCTTGAATTTTCTACGCCGGGAAATGTGGACCTTTTGTAATTTTGGGTGGGGGTTGGTGCGTACGCTCCCGTCGCACTCCCCCCTGCGTACGGGCCTGGATACCTAAGGCAAGACAGGGACGTATCCAGGGGAAGCCGTGGGAGCCGCGGCTCCCCCATTTGTACACGTGTTAACATTTTAAAGTTGTTCTTGCTAGCCATACAAATTCTTTCCTGGGATCAATCAAAATCTGAAATCCATAAATCTCAGGCCAAGTCTTTTTAAGATACAGAAATGTGATATTGTGTGCAGTGTGGTTCAGTTTGGTTTTTATCCTTTTGCAAGCTTTTATAAAGTTTTGTTTATAATAATAATAATAATAATAATAATAATAATAATAATAATAATAATAATAATAATAATAATGACGATGATGATAATGATAACAGATAATAATATTAAAAAGTCGTGAAGAAAATTGTGCTAAAGGCGAAAAAGAAACTTGTTATTTGTTGATCATAATTACTATAGTATAGTTAAAGCTTAGTAAGCTATAGTTTGGCCTAAGTTGTCCTGGATATCAAGTAGATCCCTGATAAAATATCATGAGAAATTTGTTGGCGCTTCATTTTGACTATATAATGGTAACGTGATGATGATGAATTTTACTATATAAAAGTCTGTCATTTCCGGCCATTTCGAGGTACTATGTTCTCAAATAGCCCGACCATGGTGGGGGTGAGGTGATGGTGAAATCACGGCTTTAAAGTAGCCTATGTAAAGTACATACTCAACTCAAAGACAATGTTTTTAAGCTTTATTTTCTATGGTACATCACACATAATTAGATCTCTATGGTTGCCGAAAATCACTGATGAAAGATCATGAGAAATGTGTTGGCACTTCATTTTGAATAAATATAGGGCCTACTGGTGATGTGATGATGATAAATTTTAGGCCTACTAAAATTTCTTGAATCAGAAGTACTATTTCCTCAAATTTGATCATTTCAGCACTAACCATGGTGGGTCTGAGGTCGGTATCAACTCACGAAATGTCCCCACCCCTCCACCTTTCAAAACAGATCTACGCCCTTCCCTGGGCATGACATTAAATCGCCATCGAGTCTGCACCTGACTCAGTGTTTGTCTTAGTGAGTGCTGAGGCGAGGATGCATACATTTGTTTTTAGGATGTGATCTGGTTTTTTATGCCCATTTTTCGTGATTATGAATACGTTGGATAAAAAATGTTTTAGCAGTGGCGGATTTAATGGGGTAGAGGCACCTAGATTTAGTAGCAGTTTAGTAGTAACACCTACGGCGAAAAAAATCAATACTACACACGATTAAAGAGATGAGCAAGAAAAAAATAACCCGCCAACAATATTTTCATTATATAGGCTCAAAGTTTGTATATTATCAAAAAAACATTCTTAATGCGCCAATTTCAAAATAAATTAGCAAAGGTGCATGTATACCGTGAGCAGACAGTGGTTGACTTAAATAGTTGAAATTTAACAAACTACATGGAATTAAAAAGATATAAATACATTTGTACACACATTTGTATAAATTTGCTCTTTTTATTCCTTTGATTCTTCCAGTAAACAGTTTACCATATATTACAAAAACTTCATAATGATCTTTAAAATGTATTTATAAAGGTTTATACAGTGAGCATTCTATATCACTGATTTCACTACACAATGCAACACCTTCGTTACTGTCACTGAACAACACCAACAATGCCGAGTGCCTCCTACTACTAGCTAGGGCTTACCATGGAAATAATAACCAAGTAATAACTCCATGAGTTTATAATTTCTTAACTAAAGCAACTTAACTTCTAGAACAGCAGTAGCTCCAGAAAATTGCCGACAAAGTGTCCGGGGGTCCCGAACCAAGGGGACGACTAGAGTCTCGGCCCGAGACCCGGAATAAAATTTCTCACATAGAGTGAGTTTTATGGCTTAGCATGGTCCAAATAGTGGTCCAATAAATTTTCATACCTCAGCCCCACACATGGTGGGGCTGAGGTGGGTGTTCCTTGGTCTGTGAAAGTCCCTCCCTGGGTCACTAGTTTGACAAAATGTGGCTAGATCTGGAGGTCCTCAAGCATGACAACAGCTCTGTAGGTAGTTGCTCAGACAGTAAAACTATTTTTAACACTCGCAAATGCATTAGGTTCAAAATTTATACCTTCCATTCCTTTGGATCGTCTCACCAATGCCTTTTACCTATTCCCTTTTACCTATTCCCTCAACCAATTTTAAAACTATAGGCAACAAATCTTTCACTTTTGCAGCTACTACTCTCTGGAACTCCCTACAATTACATCTTAACAGATTTTCGACGTTATCCACTTTTAAAGGTAACATCAAAAGATTAATTTTTAAGGAAACATCATAACTTTCAGTCATAAGTACATTTGATTTTAACATTGTTTTATAATTTGCACTATAAAAAATTTTCTATTATTATTATTATTATTATTCTTATTATATTATTACCACAAGACGTTTTAGAGTATATCTCTTTAATGTACTGTGTACAGAGATACGGTCTTAAGCTGAGGACGAATCATATTTAGCACCTTAATTTGCAGTATGCTGAGAACTAGTGCTATTCCTCTATACGCATGTGCAAAGAGTGTTAAAGTCAGTTGCATCCATCCTAATAAACCCCCAGTGGCAGTGTTCTTTCCTTAACATTTAAAGTATATATTTATAGCATTGCATTTGTAAATTCAATCCCTAATAATTACCCAATGGCTGCCAAGAACTGCTCTTGTTTTTTACTGTTTCAACAAAGATACCGAAATACATACACACACACACATTATTTCCTTATATGATATAATGCCTTTCTCAATCAGATCAGGAATCTCTACAGCCAGCCATGGACCAAGCTGTAAGAAAACAAACAATTGACTGTTAATTGAGCTGAATATACAAAATCAAAGCAGACGGATTAAGCCGACACTTACAATTATAATATTGTGTTTAAAAGAAAGGAATTAAATTGAATGGTAACCAACTTATTGATTTTCTACTAATAAAACATCTGTAAATTATGAAACAAACTGAATTGAATTGAGTTTTGAATTGTGTTTCATTTATAAATTGACATATCATTTCATCACTTTCAATTACCAATTTACTGTATTCAATAAATCTATAAGGGTCTTCCAGATTTTCTCCACAGAGCAAATTCAAATTTCAATTTATTCACAAAAACTTCAAAAAATGAATTATGGGCCTGTTCCTGCTGAGCAAAAAAACATGTGTTTTTAAACGGTTATTTAAAAACACATGTTTTCTTCCCAACAGAAACGGGCCAAAAAAGAAAAACACGGTTAGGAATGAGTTCTAAAAACATGTGTTTTAACACGCATTCGTACACTTTTCAGCTGCAACGCAATGCTGTGTTAGTCATGACCCGTCAGTGAACCAAATTGACCTCTTGTTGGTTTGATCACTCGTCTGCGGGAAATTCGGTGCGAAAAACAAAATTAAGCCGACAGGATGACATGCTTCATGCTTTACCATAATTTGTTCATACTTTCGCGGTGTGTTGTTTATTTCTTTCGTAGCATGCGCAGCTTGCAGGAAGTAAGGGTGGTGATCGTCATTATAAGCTCCGCCCACCTGCCAATGCTCGCGCGCGTTACCATGATTTTATTAGTTGCACTTTTTCACTAGAAATGCGTTCCGAAGGAGTTTAACCTTTAAAAAAAAACGTGTTTTTGGCGTTATTCAGCAGAAACACGTCTGAAAACACTGTGGTTTCTGCTAATGCATTACATTGTTAAGAATGAGCGCGCCCTCAATTTTCACTTAAACTTATTGTTAGCAGATCGAATTTGTTTTTTTAGGGCTGCCGGCTTATATAAGCACGTTGTATGGCGACAGTGTTTACTTAAAATATACATTAGGCTGGCAATCCGAATGTTATTTAAAATCATTAGAATATGTATATAAATAAAATGATGCACTGTGATAACCAACAAAAAATTTTAAAAATGACTTTTAATTGTTTTTTCCTAGGCGAAAAAACGTTTATTAACGTGTACTTTTCGAAAGTACACGTAAACAAGTCAAAAGCACCATACGTTGTTGATATTTGTGTTAATAAGGCAAATATTACGGATATGTACGAAACAGAATAAGAATACTCAATTGTGCTTTGTTAATTCTAACTTGATTTTATCAAGGCTTCCCGGCTGGTTTTACTTTAAAAATAGATTAAATATAGGCCTATATTCGGCAAGTTCTCCAAGCGTGTACTGCGTAGAAATATACTATTGCGGGAGAGCGTGTGCCGCGTTGGTAAGTTAGCTAGGCCATGTACTGTAGGCCTATATTTATTATTACTATGGTAGTATATTTTTTTTCTTTTTTAGCATCTCTGATTTTTTTAAAGCCATTTTCAACTTTAAGTATACTTGACTTTAACCTGTGTATTTCGAAAGTTATTATAATTTTGCATATACATGTTTTAGTTTTGAAAAAACAATAATTTTATCGGAGTCCCAGGCGCAAGCCTAGTTCAAACCAAAGAAAAATGCAATGTATAGGTATCATTCGTTCACAATGGTGCTTTATTATCTATGGTACTTTATTATCAATGCTGTATTAAAAATGAAAGTCACCGATATTTTAAGATACAGTATTTAAAACATTTTTAAAATGCCATTTGGAAATGATAACTTCAAAATCAGAATACATGACTGATATAAAAATGGAAGTGCTAAAACTACTAATCCCTTACATTAATAATAATTATTAGACCCAAAGTTTAATTAGACTCCCAATATAAAGGTAATACCATGATATTTTGTCATTTCCTAAACATGTATGGAATTTTGTCAAAGCAATGATGAGACAATGGTAAAATGCTTTAAAATGAAGAATAAAAGTATATGTAGATTTTTTAAAATTTAAGTTTTAGTTACCATTATATAGTAAGCGATGAAAAGGAAAAATTACTGTCAAGTTATCTAAAGTAGAGAACAATTCTATAGAAATTCTTGCATGCATGACAATCCATTAAACTATCCATTAACTATTTCCATGACTCAACAAATCAAAATATCTTGAAATTTTATTTGAAAAAATAAATGGGCCAAGACCAGAAAAATCTAAATTAAAAATGTGTGCTACTCCATTGAATAATAGAAGCAGCTGAAATCATAATGGTAATGGTCTTGTATTTATATAGTGCCTTCCACAATCAAAGTGGGAAGTAGAACAGTTGCATGATTAAACCTTCCACTGCTTATCCTTTTTCATAAGTGATGCGGATATGTACAGTGAGGTAACCCTGAAAGAACAAAATGATTTTGTAAGCTAAATTTTATTTCTGAAAATACAGTGGTATTTATCTATCCACACAACAAAACTCTTCACAGAGATTGAATATTTAATGTGTACACACTGTAATGATGATGATGATAATGAGCTTAATGATGATGATAATAATAATAATGATAATGATAATGATAATAATAATAATAATAATAATAATAATAATAATAATAATAAAATAATAATAATTTATATTTATATAGCACCAATAAACAATAAATTAGTCTCATAGCACTTTACAGAATGCTGGAATACACACTGTAATGATGATGATGATGATAATGAGCTTAATGATGATGATAATAATAATAATAATAATGATAATGATAATAATAACAATAACAATAATAATAATAAAATAATAATAATTTATATTTATATAGCACCAATAAACAATAAATTAGTCTCATAGCACTTTACAGAATGCTGGAATACAATTTGTACATGACTATTAATGAATTTGGAAAAAGAAAATCATAATAAAGTTTAACCACCAATAACAATAATGTTGACATTACTATATTAAATGTTGCGTGTCTGGGAAAGAGCTATCAAATACTTTTACTAAAAATTATTGACAAAATTTATGGATTATTGGATTTTAATAGTTTATTTAATTTAATTTCCCTCTGTGAGTTCTTTTCAAAATACACTTTTTTATTTTACAAGAACACATTTTATAAAACACTGTGGCTGAATATGCCTAAAAATAAAAACAAATTGATGCTAAGGCAAAATATAAAACCAACAAATCCTATCTGTATCTTATTTGCATTTCACTGTAATAGAGTAGCCTGTAATACAGTACAGAAATGTAGGCGGCCTGCTACATAAAGCCCCATTCCCGGCAAGATTTCAGTTGTTAAGAAAAATCTGATTTTTATATATGTTATAAAGATTTATTAATGTAATACAAAATTGCTAATTCAACTGAATTTAGAAAATCCCAAACATGAAAAAAATTGTAAGATAAGACTAAAATTTGATTTTTTTTGTGTTCCACACAAAAAATAAATGCGGATGGATTTTTCATGTTTGATTTTGTGATAGGTCTGCGAAGAAACATAGTAGGCACCGAAAACATTAGCCTATCCAACACTGCTAGGCTAAGCCTAGTCGTATCTCGATTTAGGTTCTGTTATCACACATAAAAACGGCCGACATGATATTTTTCGTTGCTAGTATTGACACTTGTGAAATATAATATTTCATAGGAATTATTTAAAATCTGTTTAAAAAATGTTTCTGACTGAGATTTTGAAAATTAAACAAACATGTCTCAGGCCTACTTGATCAATCGCAGTATGCGAGATGCTAAGTACAAAAACCAATTTCATTAGAGAGGGCGCACTTTCTTGACTGTATAAAGTATGCATAAAAGCGAGCGCATTCCAGTGGATGTGATCTACAACTTCTGAATTTGCCTAGTAACGAAGAATTCGTCAAGAAAATGGTAATCTCCTATGAGAAATAGTGTGTATTTATCTTTTTTTTTATTCTTTCGCTTGAAACTAAAATTTATGCCAATATTTTTCTATTGTTTATAATAAACAGAGTAATGTATATGCATTTTTTCTAAAAAAAATCTTTTTTCAGTGAAATTTTGCCGGGCATGGTGGATTTAAAATAATAATTTTCTATGTTTGAAAAGTGTGTAAAAATAAGAACAAAATAAGAAATCAGTCAAAAAATATGAACATTAAGCCTGAGCAAAATTTGACTAGTTCTTTAAAAAAAAATAATAGTGTATAGGTGCATGTACTGTATAAATAAAATATTATTGCTATTATTATTATAATAGATATCACAATATCAGTATCAATGTTATTAACATTATAATTATCAGCATTACAACATAATATCACTAGCATTATATATTGTTATCATAATGACTATCCACACTATTTTCATCAACTATACAGTATTATGATTGGTTACTTACTTCAATACATTGCTTAGTCCACTACATATCAGTATCATAAGCAATAGTGCTGTAAAGAAACCTAGTGTTAACCTCCAACAGAGTCTTAACTCAGTACCTTCATCTTTCATATGAAAGAAACAAATAACGTTATAGTTAAAATAATTGGTTTGATTGAACAAAGGTTGCCATGCCTATCTAGGCCTATATATCCTTGGCACTAATTACTTCTACTTCTTTACTCAGGATACTCCTGTTAACAATCTTAATAATAATAATAGTAATAATAAAAATAATAATAATAATAATAATAAATAATTTATATAATAAAATATAATATAGGCCTATATATAATAAATAATATATGATAATAATTAATTAATAATAATAATAAAAATAATGATAATAATAATAATAATAATAATAATAATAATAATAATAATAATAATAATAATCTTGTTATTAAAAAATGAATAAAGCAAGATCGTATGTAATTCCAGGTACCAATTAAACTTATAGGGCCTATACCCTGTACGTTCTATGGTGCATACGTAGGCTAGCGAAACACATGCCCTGTTGAAGATACAGAATTTAGGCTCCAACGTTGCATCATTAAAAAATCAGCGTGGAAACTTTGATAATTACAACATTGATGGTTTTTATGATGATTAAGGATCACACTAGTATCAAAATATTTGGGGAATTACATTTAACAGCAAAATTTTATAATAAATGGGCTGCCTACCTTTTTAACCTAAAAATGCCCAAAAACAGAGTTTTGGGGGGAAAACTCTGGATTACATTTTCTCCCACATCTTTTCAAGCTCCAGTCGATTTTGCGTGATAAACAGGTGCCGGTACGTCATCTAATAAATATTCATAATTTTTTTCGTCGAAACCTCTAAAAATTCATTTCTAATGGCTGTATTCTGTGACATATTTTTACAGATTTTTTCTGTTATCGCTCAACATGGTTTACTTCCGTGTGACAGTGCGTTTGTGTACTCAACAGTGCGGCGGAATGGAATTGAGGGTGCACTACTTAATTTATACCTTAGAAACCACAGTGAAAACAGTTTATAGTTTATCTCTAAATCAGATCTACAGAAACTTACTTACCCCAAGTGCCATAGCGTGTGCAATACCAAACTTAGGAACGTTCTTAGCCCAAAGTGGTTTGAAGTGGTCTGTCAGACAGATCTTGCCACCACGATACATCTTAGCTGTCTTCCCATCGAGCTCTGGAAGTGCAATTTCAGGTGATGTGCTTGGATAGGTCACTGGCATCTGTAAACAATGTTAACATAAAAAATGACAATATCAATTATTGACAAAAACACAATTGTTAATACAGCACCACATTAATCATAGTCCCTATGTCCTATCACTTAGTATCTTTTTAATACATTACACATTATGGACCTAAAGAAAAGACACGCTTACAACAATCGTATAAACAATCTTATCCATCGTATAAAAATAAAAATGATAAAAAGTGGGGGGCGGGGAATGCTACTGTCACGGCCAATGTGGCCTTTCTAGTGTTTCCCCAGAAAATATCACCTCTCTTCTCCATAACCATTATCTTGAAGTTTGCAAAATGCTGTTTAGGAGCCAAATGCCGATATATTGTGCAGGCCTAAACTGGTATTAAGCATCTTGATCTTAAGATAAATCACATCCACTCAGAACGTCAAATCAGTATGTTGAATCACGTCCAAATCATGGCCAATCAAGGTCCAATTAAGATGTCCAATCAGAACATCTTTAGGCAAATAATGTTAGCAACAACTACTTTCCCATTCACACAACAACCCAGCTGCTTAACATAAATACTGAGAAGTGGTCTAATTGTACTGAATTTTCATATTTTTGGTTCTTACATCAAACTCTACATCAAATTCGTATTTCAGTAGTTCGTGTATGTACCAGCACTTTCCAAACCACCGTGTACCATCTTTGTTTGATTCCAACCTAAACCAGTCATTGTCAGCCTCCTTGTTGTTCTGTACATACTGAAAAACAAATTTTAATAACATTTAGTTCCTTTCCCTATCTAAGCTTTCAGAAATAAAAAAACTGAACAACGTGCCATGCTAGGCCCAGGAGGGTACCGCACATTCGTTACCAGAACATTCACACAAACAAAAGAAGAGGAGGCACTTATTACGAGCTATATAGCTCATTGCTTCCTTAAATCACTTAGGGGGCCTAAGTAAAGGTAAAAATCGGGGCCTATTATATATAGGCCCAGCTCATTGCTTCCTTATAAATCACTCAAGTAGGCCATAACGTTAAAAAGGTAGGCTAAGTATCATACTTCTACAGCTGTCCCCAGGACAGGTTGGTAATCCTTATTAACAAACAGAGTCCAACACTTGGTCTACAGCTATATTTTATTAGATATATCAATTTAGCTAGGTATCTACGTTTGCAAGTAGAAAGCTAAACTAGAACGAGTATTGCTGTGTATTTGGACTTCTTCATCACAGAAGAATCAGTGTGATGCGGCATTGTCATTTTCACCAGCTGCTACTCTGACTGACTTACAAAACAAAAACATCGTAATCATTATATTAAAGAAAAACAAATTAAAATAACCTTTATAAGAGACTGATATTCTTCTTTTAGACGAGTTGGCCATAATTCACTATCACGAGGCCCAGCTCGAGTTTTCAGCAAAGGAATATTACTCAGAGTTTTTCGTGTTTCTGCGTCCACCATTATTATTCTTGATGAAAAAGGATTTCTGCAAGTTGTAGATGCAGAAATTATTTTCTTGTGACCATATTAATAACTTTACTAAAAATATTTTTACAATACATTATTACTAATTATATATAAATAGGTACAAAATTATTTTTATACACATTTATACAAAACATTGTAATTATATATTATACAAATTATTTTATAACAATGATATATAATCGGAATGCCTACACGCCAGCCATTTTGAATTTCATACTGAATAGAAGTGTATTTTGCAAGAGAAATTTTAGAGATCGGTATCGTTTTCAATCTTCGTAAGTGCAAATAATGATTATTTTATATGTTAAGAATATATACTTATGAATAATCAATTAAGTCTTGATATTCTTTGTACTTTATTGCAGTTTATTAGTTCACTATTCTTGTCTAGAATACTGTAATGTACAGTGTATGGCTTTTGTCTGAGCTGTGTATTACTATTACGCAGTGTGAATGCCACTTAGGAAAAAAATCGGTAGATTTCGAAATGTTCTCGCTGTAAAATTCTTTTCTTACACTGACATATTAGAACTAGGAATAACATATTGACTGTTGAGGTAAATTATTCAATATATTAGACCTGTGTATTTGATATGGTCTGGGGCCTAGGCTAGACTAGCTAGCTTGTAATATATATTAAATAAGTCTAGGGCCTAGACTAGGCCTAGCGAGCTAGGCCTACACAGTAGGCTAGGTACCCCCTGAGGTAGGCCTCCTGTAGCCTAGTCTACTAGGCCTATACTAGATGAGAGGCTAACTAGATATGATTATCATATGGTATATAATTTTTGCGGCCTACGAGGAAGCCCTACTACTTCTAGCTAGGGATTTGCAGTCAACTCGCCACCTAGCAAACTTGCCCCTTCTTATTTACAATCAATCATCTGCTCTACTGTCCTGTACTACTAGGCTGGCCTAGGCTAGGTTAATTCGCTAATTTTCGACCGTTAGCGACTGAGTAAACTATTTTAATGTAGTAGAAGCCAGGCCTAGGCCTTACTAGCTACCGGGCCCCAGCTACTACTGTGCATACTAATTCCCTGTAGGCCTATTCTATTATACTACTACTACAAATTATGTTTACTCTCACTGATAATTACAATCGCCATGTTGCCTGGTTGGCTATTTCAATCAGCAATAATAACTAGTGCCTACTATTCTATAGGCTTAGGCTAGGCCCCTAGTAGTAGCACTACAGTACTAGGCGCGCCTAGCCTAGTAGTACGCCTATAATAAGCATCGGCCCCTAGGCAGGCATTCTCCCTGTGCCCTAGGCCTAAGTAGACCATTCTCTATGGTAGACTTTTAACCCAAACATTGTGATATGTCATTTCTATTGGCTAATCATGACGTAATATCATTTACCGTACCTTTAGCAATCGGAAGTTCCGATACGGTACCGTATCTGTAGCCACGGCGTAAAATTAATTACCTTAGAATGGAAAAATCCATCCCAACATTTATTCGATAGAAAATTTAATTCTAAAAACGTTGAGATTGAAACATGGCCGCTGTCACGTGGCTTACAGTAGCAAATAAGAAAAAGAGAGGTTAGGTCACAGAGCAAAGGTTGAGGGTTATTCGACATCCTATCGTTAATTACTATGAAATTATAGATGGCGTCCTAAAACCAAGATGGCGAAGTAGCCATTTTTCGCTACTTTTTGTAGGACATGCGATCACAAATTGGTCTAATTTTGTATACTTTCATTATAGTAAAAGGATAGTTTACAGTGAAATAGTTTCAAATTAACTATTATTTAACATTCCTGTTATTATTGTTAGATGAATAAATTTGTATTTCCAAGAGATGAAAATTGCGAAAATAGCACCGACTGTCGAAAACTAACAGTTGAAAATTGGCTAAGGCCTCCGAGGGGGTGTCGAAAACTAGCGGAAAATTGGCAAAAGGATGATTACATTTTACAGGCAGGATGCAATTTAATTTTATGAATTTGTAGTTGGAAGGTATGAGTTACATATATATGTGGCAAAGATAAGCCAAACCAGTCACTCGTCGCAAAAATCAATTTTGAGTTATTAATACAGTGTTAGAGAGTAAATTAATAGCTATAAAATGATAAAAAAAAATCATTCAAATCGGACATTTCCTTATGAAGTTACAAGCATTTAAACACACAGCTGTTAAAAGTATTATATATGAGAAATCAGCATTCAAAGTTTATGATTTCAGGCATTTCTCATGCAGAAACTATCATCAAATCCTTAAAAATGTTGTTTTAACATTGCACATTGGGACAATAACAGCATAGTACGATGTGTAGGTATATAAAGGTTAGTTTAGTGCAATAAAATAGATTTTCAAAAATTTGACTTTCCAGCATGATTTGGCCATTTTCTCTGAAACACGATTTGCGACGAGTGACTGGTTTGGCTTGTCTTTGCCACATATGCATTCTGTTAAAATTAGATTCCTGTAATGCTATTGTCCAAAAATTATGTTGTTTTTAGTCCTATGTCGAAAATTAGCGACTCACCCTAGTTCTAATCACCATTATTGTTATACTGAAACACTACTACATCTCCCTGCTGAAACAATATAAGAAAAAACACTTTATCAATATAAAAATTATCAATTGCTTCCACATGTTACTGACTTTAGTTCTACAGAACTAGAAAGTCATGGAGGCAAGTTTGTTATTGGGCGACAGTGTAGAATAAGGGGTCAGTTTGTCAGGGTGTGAGTTTGTTGGGGGTGAGATTGTTTCAAAGGATGAGTTTGCTATGGGGTGAGGTGACTCGTTCCCTTTCTAGTTGGGCTAGGCTGTGTGTTGTAGGAACTGTTTGGCTATGAATTCCATCTGTTTCAGCTGCGCATCAGATCAGACGCGATGTTTTAACTTTCAGAAATTCTTGGAATTTACAGTGTATTGTATTTTCTTTGCTTGTTAAAATATACTATAGGCCTATCCTTTAATATTTTCACAGCTGAAATCGTCCTACTGTACTGTACACCTCGTATCCTCAGCCTATCCAGAAGTAGTTACAAAGGGGAGCCATTTCCATTTCAGCCCGAGTGCCAAAACCTCTATTTACACCCCTGAACATGTTTTTAAGAAGCATTTACAATACAGTATGTTTAAATGATTGATGGTGTGCATTTAGAATTCACACATGTTTTTTTGTAATTCAATAAATTAAATGTCTTCTTACTCATACTTTTTTTTTTTCAGAACAATTAACTGGTTCGATTATCTGAAGTATATTCTACTTGTAATTCAGCATTCAATTTTCATCATAAATTGGTGGTTTTCAAGAGCGACAAGAGTGAATTATTCAATTTGAACTTATTGAATGTGCAACTTACAGACATCAGGCTGTTGGAAGCTTTTCACATTCTATATTTATGGACTTCATGAGGAAGCATTTTTGTTTATAAGCCTGTACATAAATTGTTTTATAAGATAAGATATATATATATGTATTGTATATTTGTACATTTGCCAAAGAACATCAACATTTTGTAGCAACCTAAGTCAAGCTCCAAAACAGTAAAAACCTCAGGGAGTTTTGTGTAGAGCTGTGTGCATCTGGTGACGTAAATATGGCAAGCACCCAGATGGATGACCTAGCACAGAGAAAACCACAAACCAACCACACCAAGGCTGCACAGGGGAAACCTTCCCAGTTAAAGCCCAATAACAGTATGCCGGCTGCTGAGAGCATAAAGCAGGGAAATTCGTAAGTAATTTTTGGAAAAGTTATTACCCCGTAAGTTAACATTGGAGTTGACATTAGTTTAGATAATTAAATAAGTAAGTTTAAAACTTTAAATAAGTTTTTTTTTTCTTTCCAAATTCAAAAAAGAAAAAAAGGAAAATATATTGTTGGTAGAAAAGAACTGTTGACAATGCTCAACTTTTTGAAGATTGCTCTAATTGCCTTCACAATAATTATAAAAAGATTTGATCTTCATTAAATGTATATAATATGAGAACAAAATGTAATTCAATTGCAATAATAAACAATAAATGATAACATTGTATTTTATCATTTTCAGGGAAGGAGATTGGAAAAAGAAGTTAGTACTTCCACCTAAAGACACACGATTTAAGACATCGGTAAGACATTTAAATGTTTATTTATAGTGTAAATTTGGCAATAATTTGTATGAAGATGTCATATCACACTCCGTTAATAGGCAAACCACAGTGTTTGGTGCATTGAACTTGATAGTATGGGTAGAGCTTTACTTAATACTGTGAAATATAAATTTTCAACCATATTACTGTATGTATAAAGATTTCTTTTAAATGTGTTCTTCCAACAGGATGTGACAAAAACAAAAGGCAATGAATTTGAAGACTACTGTTTGAAACGCGATTTATTGATGGGCATATTTGAGATGGGTTGGGAAAAACCATCGCCTATCCAAGAAGCTAGCATACCTGTTGCCTTGTCAGGACGCGACATAATTGCCAGAGCAAAGAATGGCACAGGAAAAACAGGCGCATACTGTATCCCAATAATTGAGATGGCAGATGCATCAAAGAATGAGATTCAAGCTATGGTATTGGTGCCTACACGAGAACTGGCACTTCAGACCAGTCAAATTTGTAAAATGCTTTCAAAACACATGGGACATAAAGTAATGGTTACTACTGGCGGAACAAACCTTCGACACGATATCATGAGACTAGAAGAACCTGGTAAAGCATTGTCCAAATATTTGTGTTTGCAAAACATGGCAAAAATTCTGAAAGTTACTGTAATCCTTTCATTAGAAAGGTCATTTACAAAAGTTGTTATAGAGGGCAGCAAAGCAGTGAGGAGATTATAATAGAATAATTTTTGTGTCTCTACGACACCCCACACTATAACTGATGAACACCTTATGATTGTAAAATGTGAATAATGGTCTTAAATTTCTAAAGAATTTCTTGCTTTTCATGTTGACATTTTAATGATTATGTACCGTAATCGAGGGAAATGTACTGGTAATACAAATGATGTTTTTAACAACCAATACTTTTTCTTCCAATAGTTCAAATGGTGATAGCAACGCCAGGACGTATTTTAGATTTAATGCGCAAGAACATTGCTAAGATGGACAAGTGCGGTGTTCTGGTGTTAGATGAGGTAACATATACACTAGATTATGTTTAATCAATCATTGAAATGCTCCAATTTGTTATGACATTGTACAGCCAGTGTTAATTGATGGTGTTTTATTAATTGATAATAGGCAGACAAACTTCTTTCTCAAGACTTCCACAATATGCTCGATGACATTATCAGCTTCCTTCCCAAGGACAGACAAGTCATGTTGTATTCAGCAACTTTTCCACTGACAGTCAAGCACTTTATGGTGAGTTATATAATTAATCACAATAAAGTACCGTATGTATTCGAATGAACGCCCCGCTTCGAATATACACCACCCCCTCAAATAAATTCCCCTCCGGAGCCTCATTTAGAATGAACGTCTCCCTTGAATAAGCACCCCAGGCATTTATTTATTTTTTTCATCACCCCAGTAAATGACTAATCAAAACTAATGGAAGCAACATCAATCTTAACTGTATTAATGTTTTACTCCAGTACAATTACACTTTTTCTAACCTGGTTGGGATCGCCAAGTCTTCATGATCTGGTAATAACTTATTTTGACCATAATTATGTGTTGTAGTTCACATTTACAGTGAAAGTAAGAGGCATTTGAGTATATTGGATATGTATCCATTTACACCAAAACAAATAAATGCATCCCTTGAATAAACGCCCCTCAAGAAAACCCTGCTCAATAATAAATGCCCCTGGCCGTTTATTTGCATAATTACAGTATTTGCTTTTGAACATTTAACATACTTTTTTTTTTGCAACCAATGCCAATTGTAAAAGGCCATTTCTTTGCTCAAGGAAAGAGAGAGGGCAATTTTTTTTTTGTTCATGCTAATTGCCTATTTTCTTTCCTGGAAAATGTATACAATGTATTGTTAATGCCAAATAAATATTATAATTATGACAATTTAGAACAAAATATTTTTTTTTTCCTAACAGGAGAATTATTTGACGAAACCTTATGAGATCAACCTAATGGAAGAACTGACGTTGAAGGGCATTACACAGTATTACGCATTTGTGGAAGAGCGCCAAAAAGTCCACTGCTTGAACACCCTGTTTTCAAGAGTAAGTGAGAAAACAATATTATTCATCAGTTTTTTTCATATATTCATCTCGCATATAAGCTATAAAATGACCATTTACTAGAATTGTAATACAATTGGCAAAGTTATGAGGAAAATATTGCACTTTCTCTGTACTAAAGTATACAATACTTATGTATATATTCTTATGTTTATTACTCGATTTAACATTTAGCAACAGTACGCTGGTTTTCGGATGGCAGGCCTTAAATTATAATTCTAAACATTCACTCACACATGGTTAAAGTAAGCTGTTAAAGCTATTGAATTTGCCACCAGTGTTTCTGCACTTACAGTTTTTCTATCTGTAGTTCAGTGTCAAAGGTGGCATACATTGATTTATCATGTATAGTATTTGGACAACTTGATACCAAAGTTATCCACAATCTAACATGCTTACATTTCTATTTCATTAAAAAGTTGCCCTTGACCTCAGATTTGTTTCCTCAATTCTTAAGGAATGATTGTTACTTTAAGAATATATTTTTAACAAATAAATACGAATTTTGAGCTATTTAGAGGTGTTGTAAATGGAAGCACTTTTAGAGCATGTGTTCATATTAGGCCAAGGGGGAAAAAAATTATGGTGTTGGCCACGCCCAACTGACCCAAATTTTACAAAATTAAGGGTCGCCATTTTAGATTTTTTTTACGTGGCCAAGGCTAGCCTATTTTGCTGGATGGTACATTATGATGTACGTGATGCGAATCCAAAATTGTTGTATTATTTGTGAATTTTTTACTTTTTAGGCATAAACACATATTTGGTTGTAAAAAAAAAAAAAAATGTTTTCCTACCGGCCTACCCATTTTTGGGAATTTTCTCAAAACGTGGCCAACACAAAATTTGTTTTTCTCCTTTCCGCGATTATTGGATCATATACTATAAAACCTTGAATTGCTGGTTTTGTACTCTATTTTTTGCAAACTTTGGATGGGTCTCTTTTTGAGATGGGCTTCTTATTATGGCTACTTTTACAAAGTAAGGGCGGGGGCTTCTTTTGAAAATGAATGCTGTAAATTTTGGGAATTTGTACCTTAAAACAATAAATAAGGCCACTAACATCAATCTGTATCATGGAGGTATTAACTGGCATTAAATCACCTAAACTACTGTGTAAACCAAGCTATTTTTTAATTCATTTTGGGTTTTTTTTAATTATGTACAGTGTATGTACTGTACTATCTTGAAAAGATGTTTTATGTTATCTTAAAAAGATGCCCATGGGCTTTATTTTGAGATGGGCTTCATTTTAAGGCTAGTTTTGCAACTAAAGAATGTGCTTCAAATCCAAATACTGTATGCTGCTTCTCCTTGAGAGTAAGCCTATGGTGCTAAAATTCTAGGTTTTACTGTACTCTGTATACTCTGCACTGAGTTTTCCCATAACTTTAATTCTACTAATCAGAATTCAAATCTACCAGTTACCCTTTCAAGAAATTTCTGAGAGCTTAGTAAGGTTTTGTCACTCCAAAATAATTCACAGTGTACAATTTACTGTATTCCCGTGTGATTATTCCACAAGTATTGCAGTGATTTGCAGGTTCATGGTCTACTTCACTATCAGGTACCCACTGAACTTGTGTGCAAATAAACAATGCACATAAAGTGCTTTTCCCAGGGACTAAACAAGTGGTCATACTTGCACTCTGATATGGAATCCCAATGTCATACCACTGACCCACATGTATCTTAAAAACCATTGTTTAGTGTTTCATGTGCAAGTCATTTGAAATAGCATGTAAAATATTAATGAAGCACATTATTTATTACATATTTCCATATATTTCAGTTACAAATTAACCAGTCCATAATATTCTGCAACTCCACCAAGCGTGTGGAGCTTCTTGCCAAAAAGATTACAGAGTTGGGATACTCATGTTTCTACATACATGCTAAAATGCGACAAGAGGACAGAAATAGAGTCTTTCATGATTTCCGTAAAGGAGCCTGCAGAAATCTGGTTTGTACCGGTAAGTAAACAAAATAGATACAAAAAACTATTGATATGGTTTATGAATAGAAAAGTTTGTTCACTTCTAAATATGTACATGAGTAATGGTAACAATCCGAACTTGTTCCAAATGTCTTTGATTTGCTACCAGTGTTTCTGCACTTCTGTTGTCCCATTTGAAGTCCAGTGTCAAAGGTGGCATACATTAAACTGTCATTCATACTCTAACTTGGCAACACATAAAAGAAATATTTTTGTCAAGTGGGGAGATGTTTTTTTATTGTGAAAACATTATCTTGTTATGTTCAATGTAATTTAATTGTCAATAATACCACATGAAAAATTGAAATTTGATTCCCTTGGATACACAAACATGGCAAAACACATAATCAAGAAAGACAAAAAGAAATAGATCAATTACAAGAGCAAAAACAAAGAGTACAAAAAAGTTTTTAAAATCTGGAGAGATGTCACAGGATTTTAACTTGGCCTACATTGAAATGCAACCATCTTAATAACTAAGCCACACATCTATTTCTTTTTATTATTTGAGCAATAACATTATAGATTATGAGTATGGTGACTACGAAAAATGACAGACGCAAGGCCATAATTGATTCTATGTTTTGTTCTTTATAGAACATTTTCAACAAAGTTTGTACCCTTTTATGAATAAAAAAAAAATAAATAAATAAAAAATAAAAAACAAAAAATGATCTACATTCCCATTTTATTATACTTTTGGAGGGGGATAGTTGGCAAAAAAAGTGTTTTGTACTCCTAAAATGACTTTTTTTTTATTTAATGAACCCTAAGTGACTTATTCTCTTACCCATAGGATAAAAGAAAAGATAAAAGATGTTTATTCACTTCAGTATTTTCTCCTCATATTGAGTTATTATAAAATAAAATATTTAATACAGTTAAACTTGTCCTATTTCGACTTTGCCTAACTCGAATAATTTCTAAGTTTTTTTTTCAATTTTGAACTTTGTTACAGACTTGTTTACACGTGGTATAGACATCCAGTCTGTGAATGTAGTTATCAATTTTGACTTCCCCAAGATGTCCGAAACTTACTTGCATCGTATTGGCCGCTCTGGTCGATTTGGTCACCTGGGTCTAGCCATCAACCTCATCACATATGATGACCGTTACAATCTGTACCAAATTGAGAAAGAGCTTGGAACAGAGATCAAGCCTATTCCACATGAGGTTGATAAGAGTCTGTATGTCGCAGAGTACCAGATGGAGAAAGACCCTGAAGAAGACTGCAATACAACCAACGCGACGACCAAGTAAACAGTTGAGTAACACATCCTGCTAGAAGAGTTTCACTGTCTTCATTTACTACTTGTTTACCGTGCAATGATGCCTTTGAGTGGTACCGTAGTTTGGGCAGAGTTGCTACAGTTACGTACATTCCAAATTGGGTAGGATTTGGGTACAGGGTGGGAAAGTATAAGGGGTGGGCATTCAATGAGAATGAGAACTGTTTAATTCCTACTGGCATCAATGATGACAAAAGGAATAACTTTATTTGTCCATGTATATTCCTCCTGTTGGAGGAAAATACAAATTGAATAAGTACTATGGTTTGAAATTGTTAAAAAGTTAACTGTAAATTTTAATTTTAAGTTGTTAATTTCATTTATAGTGAATCTTTACTTTGAAGCAAAACTGTTTGTTTTTTCCCCGAGAGAGCATTGTACTTAGAGTGTTGGTTCATGTTTTTTTTTTCTTTTTCATGGACATGTATTTTATTGGAATGAAATTCATGTGTCCTTTAATTAATAATTATTTTAGCTGCTGATTTAATCAGAAAAAAAAAACAGATGTGCATTGTGTATGTAAGAAGTATGATTGGACAAAGGCCAATGTTTATAAGATTCTTTTGTTGTCTAGCCTATTGCTGTAACTAACACGGTGCGTTTCTTCTCTATACTTCTGTTTTACCATAAAATCATAATATGCAATTCAGGAAAGGTATGTGTGTATGATGATGTATGAGAGAAATTTAAGTTTACATAGTTTTATTTTGTGATGGAGTGAACCAGGATGTTTGATGCTGCAGTTACATCTTCCAGCCACAGATGACCAGCTGCCTAGATGGCTGTATTTTTTATAAGAAAAGGTGAGCAATTGGTGACAAAAATCATAACAAAAAAAAGCAGGTGAAATTGTTATCTGTGGTTGGAGGTTAACCACTCATTGAAAAGCTGGAATTGCAGGTTATAAAATAACACATTACGCTAAAAATACGAAAAATTGTATCATCGTATGAAAATAAACATTTGCAAGTTACATATACAATTTTCCTAAGAAAAGAACTTGCAGACACTGAAAAAAGACAGTTGTGAATAATAAAGCCAGTATTTGGTGTTCCCTGAGCAGAGGTTTGTTGAGAATGCCTGAGAGTGTACCTCAAACTTTCAACTTTATGATGCATACTAAACATTAATGTGTTTTTCCAGCTGTCATTTAAACCTCAAGAAGCCATAAAACCTTGAGATACACCACCAAGTTCTTTACAGTCTACAAGAAATTTGAGTTTTTGAAAATATATGAGCATGCTTTGGGGTTTCGACATGTTCTACTGGAATGCTCCACCTCAAGGTACAAACTCGTAAAAGAGTGCCTTACAAAGTTTTACAGAAGAGGTTATGTTTATATTGTTGCGCTAAGACCTCTATTGAGTGCAAAACAAATGTGCGACAAGATCGGCGGTTTTATCAAAAAAGTATTACATTGCTGTTAATAAGACTGTTTGCCAATCTTAACCGGAAGATATGGACTTCCAACAAGTAAAAGAAAAATATTGTTTTCCAGAAATGAATGAGAGATGTCAAATTCAAAAATAGATTTGCTTTTGAATGGGAATATACAAGAAGTCGTGAGCATGTTGTTTGCATTTGATTGGATCATAAAAGGAGAATAATAAGCCGGTGTTGCATTAGAGTGGGTCGTACAAGAGGGCATGTGTTGCTTTGTTTAATGCTTTCAGTACTGCTGGACAGAAATTTTAAAAAGCAGGATATCCAAAAATGTTATTTTGAAATTCTACATTATTGAAACAAAAGTGATAAAGACAGGAGATGTTCTACACCAACTGCTTCCCCTACTGCAAAACACTGGTCAATTCTGTTTCATCAAAATAAATGTAGTGCTATTTTAGTAAATGTTTACAGACAGTAAATACAGTAATAGCATTTTGAAGCTGAAGACAAGAAGAAATAACAGTTGTGTTTCTAAGTTCTAATATATGTATCCACTGATTTTGGATGCCAGGTTCGCTATAAGAGTACAAATACTGAAAAATACTATAAACATACTTCCTTTGTCATGGAGATTTGATGTGATCTAATGCGCAGAGCGTAGATCTGAACGTGTTGTTAATGCTAAGAGACATTTTGCTCTAATTCATCTGAGAATTTTATTATTCAAAGTGAAAGCCACCTGGAATTTCCAGTTCCATCTTTTCATTGAGATCTTACAGATTTCTTTATTTTTACTTGTTTTCTAAATGTAAAATTATTATTCATTTCTTGAGAGGATCTGCAGTATGTGAGAAATATGATAGAGAGGTGGTGTATGTGTACAGTATGTGTGTGTTTAGCTGTTTATTTGTATTGTGTATAGAAGTGTTATGTGTGGTGTGTGTCCCATCTATTCTGAATGCAATAAGTGTGCAAGGGGCGATGAGTGTTACTGATGTAAGATCTTCTTTGATGGTGCTTTTTGTCAGTTTTGGATAATAGATTAAAACTGTTACAAAATTGGTATTCTAGGATAACCGAAGTAATTAATTGCCATAATTGTTTTAATTATTTTAATTTGATTATTCATATGGCATTTAAAAAAGGTATTGGGTAATATTTTTTTTTTATTGCATTGTTTTTTTTTACGGTATAATAAATTACTTTATTTGCGTTTGTGGTGATTGCTTTTAATTGCTGAAATGTTTCATATCAAAAATAAGGTTTTTTGGTAATTGCCTTAATTATCACAGTACAGTTAACAGGTTGAATTCAATAGACCATATCTGTACAGTTATTTTAGTACGTACATTAATTATTTTTATAAGTTGAAACATTAATACAGCTCTTCATATTTGGAATAGACAACTTCCAGCTGTTTTTGCCATTAACATCTTTACAACAATTTTGCAGAAATTATATTTGCATATATAGGGCAATTCATAAAATATGGTAGAATTTAAGAGCTGAAACTTGATATGGTAAACATTTTAAATTACAGCTTCCATCACAAATGTATTTTTATTTTTGATTTTATTCTTTATACTGTACTTTTAAGGGTGTCTGCAACACAACAGAATGCCATATCCAGTTGATAAAAAATAATTTGAATAGGTATCGCATAAATTGTAACATCCCGTGGATACAGCGCTGTCTATAGTGCATCCTTCTTGTTGTGTTGTACATGCATCAATACTGTAATTGTGTTTGAATAACCCAAGGCTCATGGGGTTATTCTATAGTATAGCAACATCATACATAACACAAACCAAAAACCAGACAGGAAAAACTACAAAATTAATTCTATCATGCAGTGTTATATTGCTTATGTTATATATTACTTATGTTATATATTACTATATAAAAGATACCACCGATATTGTTTCCTGTTTTGGGGATTTTAATACCATGAGCTAATAGCCACTTATATTAATATAGAGTGCATTTAATGTTTTGGAAGAGCATGCATTTCTGATCTAAAAAAATGTTTAGATTAGAAATGCTATGCTGTTGTGAAGCACAGCTAGAATCAGATATTTGACAGATCATGTGACACTAATATTACCATATATAGGCATTGTTTAAGAACCAAATTTGAACCTATAGTGAGTCATGTCCATCCTGTGTCTGAGGCCAGCTGTACTAGATTGTGGAAGCTGGATTGTCCAGAGTACAAGTTATAAAGAAGGTACTATAGTGTGTGTTAAGTACCTCCTTGATAATGTCATAAATACTGCTTTAGTATTATCAAGTAGAGTTGCAACTGTGGCTTGATGAGGCTTAAGACAGTATTTAAAATCCTTAGATTACATGGTTTTAAAAAGTATTTTTATACTTACCATTTTCTCAAAACGCCAACCATCCAAACACCTGAAATGTGGCCATTCTTCAGTCTGGAATTTAAAATCTTCCTGCTTTGCACTGTGCATGAATAAAACCATGTAATCTATAATAGATCATTCTGCTGTTAAATGTGTACAAAGCTGTTGGGCCTATGCCATCAAAGATCTCATTGTTATTTCAATAACTTCTACACATTAAACATCACAATGTAATTACCCCGTTTCACTAAAGCATCAAAAATTAAGCAAATCAAAAAGAAAAATGTTAATCATCTCTAAGTGATAATCTAAAAACACATTGTCCTATAAAATAAGTACAAACTTGCTAAGTTGTCAATTGCATGCTAAGCATGTAAATACTACAGAAGTTGATGCTTGGTGAAAACGGTTGATATTCTTCTTGTAGTTTAGTGTGCTACTACTACTTTATGGTTGTCTTTTAAACAGTCAACTTTCAGGCTTGTCCTGTTATTTAATTCTAACGCATGATGCATCTTTTATTAGCATGGCCTAGGTCCTGCCGATCCCCCATTTTGCTTCTCAACCCAGTGTGGACATTTAACAAAGAAAGTAACCAATGAACAGTATTGCTTATTTTACTGTGAAAGAATATGCGAAGGTTACAAGGAGAATGCCAGTGGGATATATCACGTAGCTAGCATTTTTATTTTCACATCAATGTTCTTGTATTTAAAAATACATGGCTACAATATGTCTTGTTTGGTAGACTTTCGATTTCTAAAGAATGCACTTAAGAACTAATATGCAGTAGATCCACATCCAACCTTTGTTACACATTAACTCCTGTGGGAAGCAATGTGGGGATAAGTTCTTGGAACAAACTTATCAAAAGTATACTAACGGGACTTAGGCCTAGCTTGGTATTTAATGCTTTTCTGACCTATAAATCTTCGCCTTAGTTGATTTCAAGATGTTGAATTCTGCAGCCTCGTATCATTCATCGGTCCTTCTCATAACATTGTTAATAATTAATCCTCAGTGCAAGAACTACAAGGCAATAAGAATGTAAAATATTCTTGATTTTCTCTTCTGGTCATTCATTCATTAATGAATGTTTTCTCTACTGACTGTTCATTAAATCTTAAGTATTTGTATGTGGTCTTCTTTATCATTATGAGAGCAAGTGAACATTATTTAAGTAATGTTTGAGGAGTACAAAAGATATACTTTCACAATTACTAAACATTTAAACTTAAACTGTATAGTGCAGTGATTCCCGGTCAAAAATATTTCCATGCAAAAACATTGGGTACTGAGTTATGACTAGATAATTTGCTTAATACACTAGATGTATATGATCTTTAAGCAAACATATCCCAGGTTATTGTACTGCATTTATTATAAAGCACAGGACTGTGTTCCCATACTCTAGTGGTCACTAAGTTATTGTATTGTCTGTTAAGGCAATTAAATACTTAATCTCTTTTGTATGGTTGCCAACTTTAAGTCTGTGAACATCATAGTACAATCCTAGGTGATATATCAAATGTCCCTATTAAGTGTATTTGCTCCTCAATAAACAATTTTTTAATAAAAAACTTGTCCAAAATGTCATAAACATATCATCCTCTATGTAAACATCTTTCTGTTGAATGACGAGCAGTTCTGAATAAAACTTCAACCCAAGATTATTTGTTGTTTAAGCTTTTTTTGTGTGTTTCAATATTGTGCTTTATTTTATAGAAACCAACCTGAAGAAATAGGATTTGTGTGTATGTTACCATGGTGCTAACTGGGTCCTACTACCTTTTATTCATCCTAAGCAAAATAGTGTCGCATTACATTTATCTTCCCAAGGAATTGGAATCGTAATCCACATAAAACTTTAATTCCTTCATAATGATGTGTTCAGGATGTTTGGAAATCTCACCTTGGAAGTAAATATTAACATTGAATGCCAAGCTGGAAAAGTCACCCAAGAGTTGGTTTTCCGTCACCAAGCCGCATCCCCATGAGTCAATGTCTGAAGAACACTTATTTCTAGGGTGTTGCGTCTGATCTAATCTAGCGGAAAAATTAAGAACTAAAATCCTGTGTTAAGTATGTTCCTTGGGATTCAAATTTTGGAATACATGAAGATACGTGGTAAGAAATAATTTAGTTACCCTGGAACTGTTACAAAGTCAAGACTAACATCTTAATATATCCACATTGCATTAGTTTTCAGCTTCATAATGTCTCAATCAGGGAAACTTATTAACTTTCTGGTCCTTCAGTTTGTGGTATTAAGTCATGGAGACCAACGTAAGTATATTTCTTCCCGACTTTACTTCAGTCAGTGATGCATGACTATTCATTTATTTACATATTTATTATATCTATATCAAATATAGCTGGTCACTCACTGCATCGTACAATGGTTGTATGACCATTGGCTGACGAACCCCAACCCGCTCCCTGTCAGAGGGTCTGCTGATTGTCGGTGGCAGTCTGAATGGTTTGTCATCAAAAACGATTCATAGCGCGCGTGTTGTGGCGTTGTGTACTCCATAGTATCACATTGGCTGACTACCAGGGCACAGAGTGTGTGCCCGGCTTTAGATGCGTGAACTTTTGCCGTCAGGGACTTGTATCCAAGTGGTGGGGCTTAGCAGAACGGTCCATCAGGATGAAATGATGCTGCCTAGTCCTTATTTTATTTTTTTATATTAGATTAATTCTACTAGTTAGATTTGAACCCAGGACCCAGGTATTTGGAAGGCAAGCATCTCAACCACCAAGCAGCTTCACTAAAGCAGTATACCTGTACAAGTATACTAGCTGTCATGGCCTCATACCTCATTTGGTTAAGCATCTGAATGGCAGGGAGTAATCTAAGCACAGGCTGTTTAAACAGTCTTGAATCTTAGTTTTTCAAAAAAACCGTGTATTGTATATAAATCAAAGATTTACCTAATAATGGAGTGAAATACAATACTGTACACAGATTGTAGTACACCCCTTGGAATGGAAGATGGTACTATACCAGACAACATGATCACTTCATCTAGCTGGTTTGATGAGCAATCCGGCCCAAGCGCTGCACGTCTAAATGGTGATGGTGGTTGGGCTTCTTACCGCAAGCTGTCAGATCAGTGGGTACAGGTGGATCTCAACACCCCTCGCCTCATCACTGGCATTGTAACTCAAGGAAATGCTGTATACAATGAGTTTGTGATGAGCTACTATGTTCATTATAGTATGGATGGTAAACAATGGAAGACTATACGGGATTCATATCAAAACGCTAAGGTAGTATATCGTATGAATTATATCTACAAATATCAAATATATATATTAGGACCTTTGACAGAAAATGAAAGAAAAGCACAAAATAGATAATCTTTCTATTCATGTATTATTACTTCATCAACTGTTTAGTTATTTGACGGTAACCTGGACCATGATACACCAGTTCAAGCTATTTTCATCAAAGGTGTACGTGCCCGTTTTATTCGGATCCAACCGTATGTGTTTCACGGTCATCCCAGTATGCGATTTGAACTTCTCGGTTGTGTAAACAGTGAGTTCATTATACAATTGTTACAATTTTAATGATATATTAATCGTATTGTCACAATTCACAAGTGCTAAATATAATACAGTAATTAATAGTAAATTTTCTATGTTATAATTTTACTATTGGATGAAAATATTTGCAGGCCTGTATCCAGGTGTGGGGGATTTGTACTTATGTACCATTTCCACCACCCCCCCCCCCCCCCCCCCTCCTTCCAACAAATCAGAAAAAGTCCACATTTTTAAGACAGTTGAGAATTTACTGGATACTGTATATATTTTCTGAGATGAAAAAGAGTCTTAAATATTTACATTTATAACGAGCAATCTTGTTAGGCCAGTATTAGGGCATGCACTGAAGTAATGGCATAGTAATGTGGTGATGTACTCCAACCATCTCTGTCCTCTAGACTCCTGGATTCCTGGTATACCCCAGTTGGTCCATTTTTACACACCCTATCCCCACCCCCAAATTGCAATCTTGGATATGGCTCTGATTTGGGCATTTGTACTGTAATTGGTATTGATTAAGTTACAATAGTAAAACATCTTAAATTGTTTATATTGGATAATTGAGCACTTTGGATATGTGCGCTGTATAAATCATATTTATTATTTATTGTTTGATTTAATTTAATTATAATTTATATTACATTTTACTGTAATGCAATCAAATTCAGCTATTTGCTGCTAATAGTAACTGACATAAGTGAATAAATAGAAAAGTATGTTATGAATTATTACATAATGGTTTTTACAGAAACTCAATCATGCTGGTCCTACCCATGTAAAAATGGTGCAGCATGTTCTGAAGTTGGAAATGACTTTGAATGTACGTGTTTACCTGGTTTCATTGGTAAAACATGTAAAAAAGGTAAGGTGTGGTATGTCTGTTGGCTATAAGTTAATACTTAATTTTTATAGCAATGACAAAATTACAGTAAACTATACATTATCAAAACTACTATGTAGATGGAAGAACATACTCTACTGATAAATATTACTGTTATTATTATTATTATTATTATTATTATTATTGTATTACTATAAATATTAAAAATATTATTTATTATTGTTATTGTTGTTGTTTTGTTATAAATATTTAATATGTAGGCCCAAGTAAACATTGAAAAAAAAATGTTTTATAACATAATTACAGACGCAGAAGACTTCATATGAAAATCTGTTTTTTAAAAACTAGAATATTGCTCAACACCTCTTGGACTGGAGAGTGAATCAATACCTGATAGTCAATTGTCAGCATCATCATATTGGTCTGGTGAAGGTACAGCAACATATGGAAGACTAAATGCCTATGGATGGGCTGCTGCATCAGAAAGGAAATATGAATGGTTTGGTGTGGACCTAGGGCACCCAAAGTATATAAGTGGCATCATCACCCAGGGTCATTCATACTGGCCTGAGTGGACAACTAGTTATAACGTTTTAGTTAGTAATGACAGTGACACATGGACAACCATCTCAAATGGTACAAGTGGAGAACCTCAGGTAGGTTCTATTTTAACAAAGCTTCTACTTGGATAGCTCTCTGGGGAAGAACCCTCAGACACCTCTATAGTGGATAGCCAGAAATTCTGGGTAGGTCTATCAGATGATAATTATCTCAGAACATAAATACTACGAGGTTTTACTAGTTTGGAGAATGGCTGGGACTTGCTAATTGGATCAATATCCCAAATTCGGAATCAATCCACCAGGTGTACTGGCAACCAGTCTGGCATTCCTGAATATTAACAGTTGTTTGTTCTAGCTAACAAACAACATGAAAGACCAATTCGATTCAACTGAATGACCAATAAATACCCTAAGACAGATGATTAATATAAGAAATACATAGGCCTATGCATATTGACATTATAAAGAATTGGGAAAACTTAATCTGAACTAGTACTTCATTGTTTGCGTGGTATTGCCTGCTAGCTGCTAGGCTCACCTTCCCACACAGGTAGTTGCTTAATTAAACTCCGACCACATTGGGTGGTTGTTTTCAAAACGAGAACATGAGTCCAACAGTGTTGGCCGAAAGCAATAATGACAGTCCTATATCCTAGCTTAGAATGTCCCTATTATTGGCCTACGAAAGACTGACAGGCCTAGGCCGCCTCCCGGGCCGCCTCTAAGTTCACTAAGATTAACAAAGTACACTCCCATAGTTGCAGTCACCGCTGCCTAGCGATATAGGTGCGGGATCGGCACCATCCCAAAATAATTCTGACGGCTAATATATCAATATCAACACTCTTACACAGCAATATTTGTAGCTATAAAATGTAATCAAATGACATAGATACTCACAACTTTACCTTCTTATTTTTACCAGCTACGTCCTACACCAACTCCGTCTTGGACTTAAAACTTATTCGTTTGCTCAACTTTTTTACCTCGGCCAATCACGGCTTTCGTCATTATTTATTCATGAGGATTATTCCATTGTCGTTACAGTGGAAATCGGCAAAAGTATTTACTGTAGGCTACTATATCACATAACTTGGGAAACAGTGAGGGTAGCCATTTGTGATTTTAAAAATATTCGCAATTTATTCGTAACTTTATTTTATTTCATTCAGGGAACTTTGATAATGATTTAAGAAATTGATTTGTTCTCATAAGCAGGGGTGGGGGCTATTTAGCTGCTTCGTATTTGTAATTAAAGAGTCTTCTTTGTGGTATACTTTATTTATATTTAAAAACGAAAGTGATACATAAGGGATTTGCATCCATGTTAGTACGGAAGTCAAATAGCCTACAGTACTTTTCAATGATAACTTCATAAATGTAATAATTATAAATCATGTAATATATATTTCTAGATATTTAAAGCGAATGTTGACAAAAACAGTCAAGTCAAAAACTTCTTTACCGACATTGTTATGACAAGATATGTGCGCATTCGCATCGAAGAATTCAAAAGTCATCCAAGTCTCAGGTTGGAAATTCTGGGGTGCGAAGACCCTGATGGTGAGTTTATCTTTATGCCATGCGTTTATTGTGAACGCTGCCAGTAACATCTTGATTTGTATTCTAATACAATGTAACCATGTTCCATATGAGTAAAAAATTACATAAAAAGTGAATGGGAATAAAATTTACAAAAGGTAATATTCAAAAATTACAGTACAGTTTCATAATTATAAAAACACAATAAATTTGAATTAACAAAGGTACAAACTACCCCCCCCCCCTTGCTGGCGCCGCCACTGGCTGCAAGTGCACATGCAAGTACCTTCCTGTGACTCTCATAAAGTACTTAAATTCGTATTAAATTCGTATAAGTACTGCCGTACTTCATAAAAAATCTTGTATTTTTTTTATTCCTTTCTTCTGTAGCGCCTTGGGTATTACTGCAGTGTACATGTTCGCTTTATAAATCGGATTGTGTGCTCCAACCAAGTGCACATGCACGAACGGCCATGCAAATCTTATTATTTATTATTAATGCGCTTTGTAATACTAATAACTCATTACAGTTTTTGGTGCCACTCCTGTAGATTATGATACCTTAAAAAAATATTATAAGCTTTCGTTTTAGCGACCTATAAACCAACAACCCGACCATTGACAACTTCATCGTCAGAAGGTCACAATTATGTGCAAGAGCCATGTAACAATTATCCGTGCGAGAACGGAGGAACTTGCCAGCCAATCGGTTCCACTAGCTTCTCCTGTCAGTGTCCTGATGGCTTTACTGGTTACGTGTGTCAGGACGGTAAGATATACGCTCAATAAATAATGAATGAATGTTCAGGAAATGAAAATTCCAATTTCATGGGGTCTCATTAGACCCCATTTAAACTAAAATAATGACAAAGGCTAATTTCACAATGGCTTTAATGGCTGGAAGTTTTGTATTGTATTGATTGAAGTTCGGTATACACTTTCGAAGAGAGTGCGCTTCAAATAACATCCATAACACATTAGTAGGCCAATTTGTACGTTCTGTTAATGTTCTAGGGCCCGGAGCCTGTGAGTCTAACCCTTGTTTGAATAGTGGTTGGTGTACAGAGCAAGGAACAAGTTTCAAATGTGCGTGTCTTGCTGGCTTCACTGGCAAACGGTGTCAGAAAGGTAAATGCTCATTATGTCACTTTATCAACACACTTACACTTGCCACAAGCGAATCCAAGAAAAACTATACTATGAAACGCCAAGCAAATAGGTAATATGGAACGCCATTGGTGCCAAAATCGATTTTCCAGCTTTTTTTTTTACTGATTAAGATAAAGTTTAGGGACTGGAACCCAGTCTACGACACACTGTACTAGGATGGTATTGGCCGGCGGAACAAAACCCCCCCACCCCCATTGTTTGGCAGAAAATATATAATGTCTACGCAGATTTTTGTATGATCGGCTCCCTCGCATTTCACATTCCCATTCACCTTACTAGTGCCCTCCCCTCCCCCCACCCACTTTAAAAAAACTTTCCGCCGACCCTGTACATTACTATATCCAGTCGAAGTACCAAGCTACGAAACTATAAGCCTAATTGTCACTCTCCAGCAACCTGCTGGTTCAGTTCCGAGGAGGAACTAACCAAACAAGTACCAATCAAGTCAAACACTACATGATTTTGTAATATCTAAAACAGACATTGCCCATTTCTTAAAGAAACATTAAGTAGAAATCGGCTGAGTGCGTGTGTTCTAAAAGAGAGGCAATGAATATTGAAATAATCACAGAATAAAATGTGAAAAAAGTGAAGAGAGGAAAGACTAGAACAACCAGGCTTATATGCTTTCAAAATGACGAGAAAAAGTAAGAATTACAACATAATTGTACAGGTAGCTATTAATTATCGTATCTAAATCTGATTTTCTTTTCATAGATACATGTGTTGATGAACTTGGAATGGATAAGGGAACTATTCCTGATAGCGCCATCACAGCCTCAAGTTATGTAGATTCATCCCGTCCTTCAGATGCAAGACCTAAAGGGTTCGGGTGGATGCCGAGCTCAAGCGATTATGACTCGTATATCCAGGTGTTCATAAAATTCACTTATCTGTCAACAACTTTAATAAAATTGTGAAGCCCCTAAAATATTACAATTTTAATTGCTCATTTAAAAGAATCAAACTAGTGAGAAAGAAGTGTAAAAACAATTCATTTTTGCTAATTTACAGAGTTTTTCAGCAAAAAGATAATTATTTTATTAGTTATGATGTTGTCTTTGCCCAAAAGAACAACAATATAATAGAACAAAAATACAATATAACAACAAAACTAACTACAAATTTCCAATGCATTTATTGTAGGTTGATCTTTCCGACACAAAGAATGTATCGGCTGTCGTTCTCATGGATTACCCACAGTGGTCTATTGTTGTCACAGAATTTCAGATATCTTACAGTACTGATGGCGTTAATTGGCAATTTGTGACAGGAAATAATGGTGAACCATTGGTAAGTATCGTACTTGCACTCATGTTGGTAGAGAAAGATTTCCAACTATCTCCATCATCTATTTTCCCCCAAGTTTTTTTTCCGAATCCAACCCCGCTCACTGTGATTGGTAGACGATGTGACGCCCTCTGCTCGTCGAGTTAATCGCATCGGACGACAACCGTCGCGCAGTGAGTGCCCGGCTAATAACAATCAATACAATTACTTTATTAGTAAATATGATAGGAAATAAGGCTGTATAAGTCATTCAATGTATTTTTTAATAGTACAGTAAAACGCATGAAGCAAAAGTGTATAGTTGCTGTAAATTTAATGTAAGTTAAATGTTCTGCTGCTTCTTCTACATAGGATCTGCTTGGTCTTGAATATGGCACAGAAATTCTCCAGATCCATATGTATGACCCATTAACCACCCGTTACATTCGAATACATCCTACAAAGTGGATAGGTTACCAGGCTGGAATGCGATTTGAGTTGCTTGGATGTGAACTCAGTAACACACCTTCTATTGTCAACGATCTCCCACCTATAACACCAGCAACAGCAACAACGATACCACGTGACGGGATAGCGTTTTTATACGGCTTAACTAATCCAATTAGTAATGACCAAGATACAGCACAGGTATTTTTACTGGATTATCTTCTAAAAATATTATTAAATTATAAAGTATCAGGTATCGCTCCGAATTACACTAGATAAAGTTATGTACCTCAAACCTGTTTTGAACAAATTTCTACGAACACCTCATACTCGAAAATAGCAGCTTTCAAACTGTAAAAATGATTTTCAAAATATCAGTGTTCCCCGACAAAATAATTAGCTCCTACCCCAACATTCATCTTGGACTTATTACACACAATTCTTTTCAGCCCCTTTGCTGTGTTCCATTTGTTTGTCTTTCCCTTTTGTCTTTGTCTTGTGGTATTCTCGCTTTATTTTTTCTTTCCGAGCTGCCCTACACAAGCTATTTCAGGATTTTGATTTACTTATTAATTTACACTAGTTGTATGCCATTTTATTTGTACTTTTGAAAATGAAAAATAAGTGTTATTGATTGATTGAGGGCCAGTGTTTTGTACCACGTGGACCCTCTTCTGGCACTGCCACTGCAACTGTTGCTTGGTTTCTCTATTCTTTAGCATTTTCGTATTGGCAGTGAGACATAACTGTACTAGTCATTCTGTAGGGTAGTGCTGGGAAAGAAGGCGGTCGTTTAACTGTAATTTTCAATTGCTGTATATTTTTTTTAAAATCAATCATAATATTTTTCAGGTTGTACGTTTCGATTATAAATACTTTGATTACGGAGATAGTTACGAACCATCAACCGGTGTTTTCACCAGTACAATTCCAGGCATGTACCACGTCTTCGTCTCTGCGACAAGTACAAACCCTTATCTTCCACCAATCCTGACAGTCATGCATAACAATAAGCCGCTGAATGACCAGCTCAGTTCCAAACCTTCCTCCGATGGACTGCTAAGGGGAGAGCTTGGTATTGTAATTCGTCTTGATAAGGGTGATAGGGTCTGGGTAGAAATACCAGCAGGAACATCTTTGAAGGGAGACATTGTCAACTCTTCATTAGCGATGCAGCTACTTTCGCAAACAAATTAAAAAGTTAAGTGGCAGCGATTCGTTGAATACCGTAAAACCTCGAATAGAAGCCCAACAGGCTTAATATCGAGAAAAGAAGCCCATCCGAAGTTCACAAAAAAAACCAGAAGCCCACAGCTTCTATAGGTTTTACCGTACTTTCACTCTGCTAAAAACAATTGTTATTCTATAAAATTCGGAATTTGTTATTTCGTTTACATTATTTTCTTTATGTCTCGGTTTTTTTTATTTCTGAACTAATAAAAATCGAATAAACCTGCTTATGAACATTATATTTCGCAGTCTGACTAAAAAAAAAGAATGAGAATACAGCTTGATGTATAACGAACAATTCTAATATTTTAGAGATGTTTCGATGGAAAAAGAATTAGCATATGCCAGTCTATTTATATGACTTAAACATGCAACATTTTAAAAATAATATGGCATGTATTTGGTGACTAAAGTTTTTAGTAATTCTTCCTATAAAGTGATTTTACAACTTGAAAGCCTGTCTTGAAATTTGTCTCGTATATAATTTCACAAAATAAATAAAACGAACATAAATCTTTAGTAGTCAAAACGTTTATTTAACTGAGTACACTATAGTGAATGGGGTAGAATAATTTGTGAATTTAAGTTGAATCAAAACATTTTACTTCAGTAAATAAAGTAGTGCTATGGAGTCTTGAAGCAACATAGATTAAGTTCCACGTATTGGTCAATGTTCATATATGTTCATATTTTTATGCTTTAAACAAATCAACAACTGTCCCTAAAAAAACCATATTGTAGTGTTAAGCTAACTAATAAATATGCATTAAAATTTAACCTTCTGGCCAAGCATTTTATTAAACATTGCCTCACATCATTCGTAATTTATGGTTAGAAAGCCTATAAGAGTAAATTTTAAACTGACAATACTGCATAAAAAGTTCACAACTATATTCTCAAGGTAGTGCATTCATTCATAAAACATTACATATCCTGGAAACACCACAACTCAGATTTGTATCTTCATTGAATCAGTATCAAAATAATCTTATTTTACAAATAATTAGAAATATTCACATGTTAATTACATGATAATCACATGATGAAAATCACGTGGTATAAGATGTACCTACAAACAACAAAATCTGAGTGATTGAATTTTTGAATTAGATAGCCATTGTATGGTGACAAGAATTAATATATGAATTTTTTGAAATAACAGCATTTTGATGCTCTTTGATGATGAAACAAAACTTTAAATCAATTTAATTTTTTAAACAGATAGAGAAAATATATACATACATATATGTAATGTAAATCCATCTTACAAATATCATGTGGTAAAAATGCAGATATAAAACAAAAAAACATGATCAAAAGATGAGAAAATAAAAATATGATTAAAGACCAAATAATAGTGTTGAAAAAGATTACATAAGCATAATATAATAATAATAATGTTTCACAAAGATAAAATGTGTATTTTAGTCTTAATATATAATGACAAAAATATGTTCATAACAAGTATAGTTTTATAGACATCTTATAATTTCTTTAAAAAATGTTACTGGAGATAAACTGGAAAACATGTTCCTTCCATTATTACAGCTGCATGAAACTACCACCCAAACTTTTACCAACCGTTATCTCTCATTTATCTTTCCTGTATTTACATACTAATATCCAAATGGCCAGGGGAAAAAAAAAAATCTAAGACAGATGATGAAGAAATGGTGCCAGAAAGTGCCAGATATTTATTACCATGCCAATATCATTCTTGAAAATCAAACATAACCCATTCCACACATATGAAAAACAGAATAACTTGGAGGGAGATGATTAAAAAGCATTAACTACCTTTAATCCTACCATTTTATGTGAATTTTAAAAGTATGAAAATATAAAAAGGAACCGACAAAATGAAACAAAATTGACCCCAATAAAATCTAAAGATAGTTGAAATTAATCGGAATATTATTTAAACATGATATTACCCCACGACTAGTAAGTACTATCGCAGAAGCTTTTGAATATAGAAAAATGTTCATTAAAATTCAAATTAAACCTCTCAATCTTCTCACAATTATGCTTCTTGAAATAATGAGCTTTACACTGTCTTCTTGCACTAAAAATTAAGTCCTGTATAAAAAATACAGTACTACGGAATGATAAAAGTATGGCGCTATTTTTATATTCTGAGTTTATATAACTTTATTATCACTATATAACCAATTTCATTTGGTACATTAGCTCAAAATCTGGTAGATATTCACGTATGACTAAATCCACACTTCAAAATTATGTGATGATCTCTGTCCAAATAATAAAGCGGAGTTCCTTAAATCTGTAAAATCAAATGCTTGCGCTATTGCATCTACAAATATGCTCAATGAAAATAATCAAAAACAAAGATGATCTGGGTACGTAAGTATAATATAATTTTAACTCATATATAACAAAATCTTGAACAATAAATGATGTTTAAATCAAGTTGCTAGGCAACAATCAACGGCTCGTCATCTGAAAACCCACGGATCATTGGCGAGTCCTCGTCTTCTCCTGCACAAGAACAAAAACAAATTCAAGATTAAGTATTATCCCAATTTTTTAGGAAGTAATCCTAAAGTAATAAATATGCATTGAAATTTAACCTTCTGGCCAAGCATTTTATTAAACATTGCCTCACATCATTCGTAATTTATGGTTAGAAAGCCTACAAGAGTAAATTTTAAACTGACAATACTGCATAAAAAGTTCACAACTATATTCTCAAGGTAGTGCATTCATTCATAAAACATTACATATCCTGGAAACACCACAACTCAGATTTGTATCTTCATAGAATCAGTATCAAAATAATCTTATTTTACAAATAATTAGAAATATTCACATGTTTGAATGGCCCTTCGCAAATTTGTACAAAATATGGCTAGGTAATATTATTACAGTAGAACCTCGAATTTACGTACGGCACGGGACCGGAGGGCGTACGTAAACCGGGGGATTCGTAAAATAGAGGTTGGGTTAAATTTGTGGTAACCTTTGACCTAATACGTACGTAAGACTCAATACATGTGTGTATGAACGAACGATGTTACCTAGCTAGGCTAAAGCAAGCCTCTAGACCTACGAATAAAACCATGTGTTTAGTGTTTTTATTCATCATTTTATGATGTCATAATAAAGTGTTCAAATAAAACCGTGTGTCTAGTGTAATAATTCATCACTTTATATCTTTTATTTAACTGAAGAACATGAAAATATTGTAAGATTACCTATACGACAAAGATATAACTTGGGAATTCCCCTTCATGCCTATTTTAAACAACAGAGCTGTGGTGTTGTCTGGGTCTGTTGAGACAAACCAAACCCATGTGCGCTGCACTGGGCGAGCCAACCAATTAGCGTTCGTGTACGTGAAACAGCAACCATGTTCACTGCACTGAACGAGCCAACCAATTAGCGTTCGTGTACGAAACTATGCCTATTCAGCTTTCGTGTAGAAAATTCGACCAGACAAGTGTTTCCATGGTTTGCCACACGAAGCTAAGGAGGAAAGCAATTGTTTTGAGCACCATACACATCTAGATGTGTATAAGAGACAGACTCGGTGTTAGACTCAATCAATATTGTTGTTTAATGAAAATACGTTGCATTATTATGGTTTGTTTATTGTTATAGTTTATTGTAATAGTCTTTTTACTTATGGTTGCTCTGAAAAGGGCCGTTTGTTTTGAATATTTTCAGGGTTTTTGATGACGTCATCGTCTATACGAGGCGTACGTAAAACGGAGGGTTCGTATGACTGGGGTACGTAAAAACGAGGTTCTACTGTATTAATATTATTAGAATTATTGTAAAAATTCAGTGACTTACCAAGTTCATCGCCATCTGGGCCTGAGAAGGTTGCAACTCCAGTAGCTGGATCGTAGTGACTATTGGCAAATGACATGAAACTGCGCTGAAGGCGTTGATGTCGGATTACGAAGTAGCCAAGGGTGACACAAAGAACCAGGATGAGAATGACTACGATAGGAACGACGGTTTCAAATACAACCTTATTGTTATTATCAGTATGGGGAGCTGGAGGCACTGTGTAAATAAAAAAAATAAGTAATCTTTGTTTTAGAAAATGTTGGAAATTATTATTATTTGAATTTACATGAGAAATTAAAATTACTTTCTTTTTTTTTATCAGTTTTGGAAATTTATACATTTTTAAAAGCACATCACAGTGTTGTAGGCTGTTTGACCAGGGGTTAATGTTGTAGTTTATGAGTAGTTGTTAACTACTCTCTCAGGGTTTGTTTTGTTTATTTCTCTGTCCATCAGCCAAACTGTCTATCCACATATGTGAGGTCTCACTACGAAATGAGACGCATTGTTGATGAAATCATATTGAGATATTCACCAAAACAGGCCAAAGTCAACATTTTTACAAAATATTGATTTTAATGTTTGAATAACTTGATACTTCTATTTTTCGATTGTACACTTGATTTTATGGTTTAGGATGGCACAAACTGTGTTTTTCACCACAATATTAGGGATAAGCAATCACATTAACTTTGATTGGATCAACAAATACATACTTGTAGTCCAACAACCTTATAATGGTGTCAGGAAACAGGGATCCATACATACATATACAAGGGTAATTACTATCCTCACCACCCCCTCTCCGACCCCACTGGTGCTACCACTGACCTTACAGCAAAGCTGACTATAAGAGAGCAACTAACAATATGCTTTGGCCATACCTCTTCCAGAGGTGCTTACGTGAATTCCTCACTTGACACATACCTGGTAACATGTTACTAGTTGTTACCATGTTATTACTAGTGAAACAATGTCCATGTGAAAAGGGTACAAGTTTTGTCTGTTGTTGCATATCCATATGCCTAGACCAGTGCCCTAACAAAGAGGTTTGAGGCCTTGATTAAGGCTTCTTTGGGGCCATACCCTGGAAGTAAATTCCCACTCGTTTTAGCATATTTAACGCTTCAATGAAGATTCTGAAATTTTTTTCATGTTAGTCAGTGGCAGATTAAAAGGGGGAGGGGGGCACCAAGCCAGCCCAGGTCCCCCTAAATTTTTCAAGAATTAAAAAATGGAGATATAAAGATAATTATGTTGAAATTTTAAGTCTGAAAGTGTAATTTCCGGTCATCCAGAGGTGCCATAATCACAAATTTTCTTACCTCAGCCCTGACCATGGTGGGGCTGATGTGATATAGATCCTCCATCTGTGAAAGCACCTCCCGGGACCCCCTCTATTTTGAATTCCCGGATCCGGATCCGCCACTGTTAGTACCCCATAAAAAAGCCTAGCTCTACCAATGTATAGGGAAAAATGCTGAAGCCCGGGGGTCCTTAAAGGCCTGGGCCCTTGGCTTTGGCAAGTAATAGCTTACATAGTTTATCCCTTTTTAAACTCACCCACAGCTCCATTACCACGGCTTACTACCTGTTCCGTATTTGATCGCTTGCCGTAAAAGCCTTTATAGTATCCGGTCCTAATGTAGTAAAAGTAAGTTGTGTTTGCATTCACTTTTCTATCAAGGTAGAAACGGTCAGTGGTATTCAAAATACAAATTCCATCATCATCTTTAGAAATTGTCCTGAACAACGAATAGCTCTACAAGAGAAAAAAAAAAGATCAATAACAATCATTTTAAACTTCTGAAACTCCACATTTAGTTTGATTTTTTTTGTAAAATTATACTGTATGAAAAAATATAATCTGATTATGACCAAGATTGGGTAAAGCTACTAGGCTAGCATCGCAATTTTCATTCTTGATTTAATCTCTATATTAACAAGCTTTAGATGCACAAACCTGCTTATTATGCATACTGCTATTATAAGACCAACATGCTTAACTAATCTCCAATCTTACACATACTGAATGAAGCCACTCCTAGACATGTAAGTGGCCTAATGCGCTGTGATATACCCAAATATGGTTATGATGACATCACATTATGACCATATATAAGCACATCTTGACTATATATGGCAATACAAGAAAATGTGATAGTGTGGACAAAGATTTACACATGCAGCTACTCCTAGACATGTAAGTGGCCTTGGTGATGGTAACAAATACAGACCTCATCCACAGAAAGCTCTTTATAGAAGGAATTTGGTGACTTCGTCCATCTGACCAAAACACCTTCATCTAAAATTTCAACCTTGATATCTGGTGGTTCAGGAGATTCTGTTGGAAGACAAAGAGACATATCAATGAACTAGTTTGGATTGGGTTTTTTCAGCGTAAACACCAAGGATAACCCATGAAAGTTCAAAGAGAACTTATTTCCAGCAGGGTCCTTTTGGTGGTGAATCATCAGAACACTGAAAAACAATCATTCATGGAGTTTTGGTGCATTTTTTAATTTTTTTATTGTTAATGTTAATATTCTTTTCTCCTTTTTCTTTTGTGTATTTTGTAAGACCGCACCACTTTGAGTGTCACCAATACAAGGCCAAGTGTCACAAATAAATAAATAAATATTGAAACTTGCACTTCAGCCCTTCTGCTAAAAAACAAGGAGAGAAGGGATATCTACATTTCAGCACACACACACAAACAGTGGCTACTACAATGTTTACATTCGAATCGGGCTCTAGGAATATTTCTTTAAGGAAAAAAGAACTTCTTGTTAAAGGACATTCCTTGATACAATTGACATTATTTTGTTATTTTGACTTTACTTATATGTTATGTTATATGATGCTTATGTTACCTGTGAAACCACTTTTTGTGTCTGTTCTCTTGGCTTGTGAGGTATTCAACGATACATCGATCAAATACTCGGCTGAAGGAATCAGGTCTGTTAAATTGTAACAAATAGAATTGTTGCCAATTGGTTTAGTCCAGACATGCTGAAGTTCACCCTTTGACTGGTTTGGGAATTTCACTTGGTATTGCACATCGTAAACCTAAATCAAAATAATAGTAATTAAAAAAAAAAAACTTGAGTTAAGGATAAACTTAAAGAAAAAAAATTAAATAAATTAATTGGGTGGTATTGTTGTTTGGGAATCGAAGTTCTATTACTGATTGTTTTGTTAATGTTTCAAATTGTTTAAATCGAAAACAATCAAGAGTTAAATATATTTAACTGTCCTTTTGGTAGTGTTTAAATTGTACTTTTCCTACTGTTTGTATAAATGTCAAACTGTGAAATACAAGGCGAATGTTTAGTTTTAGCATTAACAAAACAAAAACAACAAATTCCATTTTTGTCGTGGAGTTTAATAATAATTTATGCATTTATGGTACTCACCAATGCGACAGGTACTTCATCCCTCGGTGCTTTCCAATGTAGAGTGATGTTAAAGAAAGTACTACCTTTGGGTTCCAGGGAGCGAGGTGGAAGAGTGTAGTCTACAAATTTTTAATTCATTTGATTAGAAAAAATATATTTAAAATGGCAATAATAATATAATATAATAACAATAATAATAATAATAATAATATATTAATATAATAATATAATAATAATAATAATAATAATAATAATAATAATAATAATAATAATAATAATATAATAATATAATATTATATAATAATAATATAGTGCTCATTGCAAATCCCTCGGTTTTCCAATGTAGAGTGATGTTAAAGAAAATACTACCTTGGGGTTCCAGGGAGCGAGATGGAAGAGTGTAGTCTACAAATTTTTAATTCATTTGATTAGAAAAAATATATATTTAAAATGGCAATAATAATATAATAACAATAATAATATAATAATAATAATAATATAATAATAATAATAATAATATAATAATAATATAATACTATACAACAATAACCAGAGCCTTGCAGGCGTCAACGTTCCTATGCATGATACATG